GGCTCTCTCGTTGATATTAGATCCTGTGTATCGCAAGTCCCTCCGTGATCCAGAAAAAAAAATCGTTGGGCTGTAATACCCTTCCGGTGCCTAACTGTCATGCCACATGACGAAAGCATGAGGGCTGGGATACTGCTAGGTCGCCCAAGCCTATACAGGGGAATTCGAGAGGCAGAGGTCGGGTTCGAACCACGGACCTTTCGGTCGGTGAATTCGCGCCCTAACCAATTGGGCCATTTCGCCCCGAAGATCCAGAGAAACAGTTGTTAAATTCGTATTTGCATCACTATCGTTGAGACAGTTCTCTTCGGTTCCCAAAGAAATTATTCTGCTGCGTTCACATCAGAGCTGAAAATTAATGGACCACCTTATTCCAGCTGTTGAGTACATGTTTGGTCCTGCGAGAACTCGAGCTTTGAACATCTGACATGTGAGGCTGCCATGACAACACCAATATTTACAGTTGTACTTTCGTATCCTACATTTTTGTGGATTAGTATCACAAGCAAAAAAACTACAAAAAAACGGATACGCAAAACATTGTGGAAAAACGTGGAGCGGAGAGCAAAGGTTAGGTCGAAAGCATAATACAATGGGTTTTGTCATTCGAGTGAAGTCACCTTCGATGTGATGTGAGAATTTTTGACGTGAGAACATGTGAAAACCAGCAACTGAAGAAGGAACAAGTGATGCTTTCATAAAGGAAACAACATACAAGGTTGCTGAAAACTCTCCAACAGCGACATTGTTAGGATAAACATAAATTGTATCCTATGCTTTGTGTATAAAAGTGATTTCAATTATAACATAAGGTTGACGAGGAATGCGCCCACTCCACTAGCCTCAAAAAGGGCGAAACCGATCATGGGCTACCGAAGAATTTTCAGCAAACTTATGAGTAGTTTCCTTTATGAAAATATACTGCGATATCTCGAGTATCGTGCCAACTGAAACATGCCTATGTGCAGCACATTCAGTTGTAGAGTATCATAAACGAGAGCTCAGTCTCTCGTGAAAACCAGACTGATTTGCAAATGAGTGTATTTCTCAAAAACAAGTAGTGCTGTTCAAAACACAGAACACCCGGGCACAGTCAAGACTCATGCATCAGGCACGGAACGTATGTCGTATAGGTTCAGTGTGAATACTTTTGGCAAGAGGAACACTGAATGTTATTCAAACGTGAACAGCCCCAAATCCTGAATAAGTACAAGTCACTGACTCTGACACAAGAAAATTCGGCCCAACAGCAACCTCGAAGGACTGATCAGCACGGTCACCTCGGTTCGAAACGAGTATTGCTTTGTGAATCCAAAACTCAATGCCACAAACAATGTGGTTGAGTTAAAAGTAATTATGTTCATAATAGGAGCAACAATAACGGTAATAATATCACCAACTTGATGGTCAAACGATCGTAGCAATGCAAATACGACTACACCGAATGCGTTCGAATTATCGAGTGTAAAGAACAATCATTTGAATGAACAGAACCGACAGGCCACAAGCGTCTGTGGTAGCTGACGAAGCTTCCCCGACTGGTGTCTTAGCCAGTCGACGGAACCAGCACTACCATCAGGTTGGTAGTGAACCTATCACAGTACTTGGGCGTTAGAAAGTCCACTTGTTTATAAGTGATCATTCAATATCGTCTGGTACGCGCTAGTAGGGTATGAGTAACGACCTAGCGTTGTACTTTTAGTTTCCGAAGAACAAATCCTGGCATGCCCTAGGGTACCCACTGGTAGGAAACTCTAATAAAAGCGAAACTCGAACCTGGTGGCTGGGAGTGATTCAGACTTAAGACACAGGAAACTCTATAGCTGGAATATACGAAGAAGGAAATTTTGACACCGTTGCAAGCAGGTTGTCAATACTGACCATTTAGCGTCTGCTTCTGGGCATCTTTCTTAGCTATCTTATTTCGTATTGGTGCGGTGGTTTTATCGATTTCAAGGTTCAAAATATACATATTTCGGCTGAACAACGCTTCATTACTATTGTAACTTGCCACTAGTCATAGTGAAAGGAAGGAGGGCTTTGCTGTGAGTTGTTGATTAGAGAAACACCACCTAGAACACTGACAGTCTATTAGATAGCGGAGCAAAATTCTCATATGCATCTTGTTTACTGATCTGAATATCCATCTTCTCCTTGAACGCGAAGTCCTAAACTTTCCCGGATATTCACTGACTGTTACTCAAATGCAAGCAAATGCCACAAAGCGACTCCATAAATTCCGCAATAGGTCTCACTTTTCAAGAGACGCAAAGCGGATTTACGAGAAAGCATACTACTAGTATCCACCGGCACAGTAGTAGGACAAAACACTATTAGCTTGGTAAGGAC